GACTTTAATTCATTTTTGAAACAGTATTTATGCCTAACCTAGACATTTTCCCTAACACCTACTATTAATAGTACATTCCTAACCTTAATCTGAACCAAAACTTAATTCTAAAAAATGTTTTTGCTTGGAAAGCTTAATCTCTGACCCTCTTAACCTAAACAGCAACAAATTGTGTCAGAACACCGATCTTTGATCTCACTTGCTTTAAAGCACAAACACTTTATAGTGAAAGGTGTGGTGATGGCTGTGCAGCGAAGTCAGACACCACGCCATTAACATACGTTTGGCTCTAAATTCCACATATTTCAGCCAATCTGCATCAAATTCACTACAGTCCATCCTGATCTACCCCACTACTGGAATGCAGTACAAAATGTTTGGGGTGTGTGTGGCCTAATAACTCCACAGCACCCCACATGTGTAACGTCTCAGGACCTAAAAAAAAAAAAGTCTATTTCGAGTCATGGCCCAATCCKCACTGGAAGTCAGCCATTTTGGATCAAACTAAAGCTTCTGATTTGTCTGTTTCATTGCACATGTATCTGAGCTAACTCCCCCTACAGCTTGGAACATTCAGACTTCAAGAGATGCATGCTTCTGTCAACACTGACTAGTGGCGGGATGGTGTGGATGTGGCAGTGGCGAATGCTGATGCCTCACCGTTTGCCCATGGTTAGTTTTAAATTATTTAACGAAGGCCTGTGATGATTCCAACAAATCTACTAACAGCTGGTCATTGCTGAATGGCGACAGGGAGCATCAGCGACATTTGGCYTCAAGTTCTATATTGTTGTAACTGTGTTTATGCCTAATCCAGACACTTTCCCTAAAACTAACCATTACTGGTCTATTTCTAACCCTAACCCTAGCCTTAACCAAAACTTAGTTCATACCATACCTCTGAACCTAACTAGTAAAGCACAGTAGACTGGCAAAAAATGTGAGGATCAGGAAAATGATCTCTCTTCTCACTTGGTTAAAAACCTGACACTCCCTCAGTAGCAGAAACAAGTACACACACACACACACACACACACACACACACACACACACACA